GGGAAAAAAAGAGGAGCTGATCCCAAGGGCTCAATGGAAAGTAAATGTCTAGAAAAGAATGATGGAATATATGTACTAATATGTCAGATACAATTGATATATGGATTGTAACAAGAATTGTAAGAACCCCCAATAAAATGATTTAAAAAAAATTAAATTTCTAATTTTTCTTCTAAATTAACAACCTTTGGATAACAGGGACACATTCTTATTCAGCTTTACATCTTTGGGACAGTGTCTGCCTTGCCATGGTTGTATATTAAAATTTTATTGGCTTGATCATTAACAGATGAACGTTATTTCCTCCCAAGTGCCAGTTGTTGAAGAATGTTCTTTTATATGATTGAGGGCTATGGTGACAATTTCATTTAGAAGAGTTAATACCAGACTAATCCCAAAGAGTTAGAGATTAAGTGTCCCAAATTTCCAACTCTTCCTAGAAGCTATTCTGCTCCATTTCCTACCTACCCACCTACCCAATTCCTCCCGTGAATATATTCCCTTATATCCCTGGGTTCTGCAATTTGTTGCAATGTCCCACATAAACTTAGAAAACATCTCTCATGGTGGTGGGTGCTGTTCAATCCAAGATGCAAAGTCAGGCAGAGTTGCGCCAAATGCAGAATCCAGAGCCAGAAGCCCAAATGCCCCATAGTCACAGCAGGTCTTAGATGCCCTCAAAGGAGCAACGAATATAGCTTGGCTCACGTCCTTTACTAAGGTTGGGTCTTATCCCACCATGATTCTGTCAACTAGTGTAGTGGAGAATGCCCTCCAAAATGGTACCACAGCCACAGACATGGAGTCCACAATTCCAGTATCACATCAGGAATTCTACTTAGAAGGGCCACAGCAATTAACTGTAAGTCAGTGGCCTTGGTCAATACTTTTTTAAATTTTATAAGCATGTAACTTTTAACATTATTATTAAAAGTTAATTGAATTTCAAAAGTTTTAGAGGTGAGAAACTTGAATAAACTCTTTACTTTAGGAGCTGAGCATGCCATTCTCAGGAGGACAAGATAGTTTCTCTAAATTTACTATGGAGATGGTTCGACAATACATGAAAGAGGAGGAAATGCGTGCAGCTCACCAGTCTTCCCTCCTGCGGCTCCGAGAGAAGGCCTTGAAGGAGAAAACAAAGGCTGAACTAGCCTGGCTAGAACATCAGAAAAGGTAAGTTCTTCCCATGAACGCAGTCTTCACTGTTCAGTTCGTCCTTTAACAAAAAGTAAGTGTTTTGGCTTTTATGATTTTTTTTATTCTCAGCTTCTTAGCAACTCAGCTTCTCAAGTAGAAATACGGTGATAACCTTAGGAATAGCCTTGATTTTGATGCTAAGACTTCCTACCCACATAGCATTTACTTTGCATTTATCTATGTCACTTAACTCACTCTTGTCATTTTTATAATTCCTTAATTTCCAATTACTCAAAATCCTTCTACCTTTAAAAAGCACAGTCTGGTGTAGAGATTATATAAACAGTAAAATACCTATTGGGACCGGAATTGCTGCCTTCAAAAACTATTCTCCACTATTCTCCATATTGGAAAATGTTAAATTGGTTTACAGATTCTTAGTTGTCAAAAATTGCTGTTGTTATAGTACATATTTAACGTTTGTTTCAATGAAAAATAATATTTGCAGACATCTCCGAGACAAAGGAGAAGATGATAAAATGCCCCCACTCCGGAAGAAGCAGCGTGGTTTGCTCTTAAGGTTGCAGCAAGAAAAGGTGCGTGACGCGAACTTCCCTGCAAGTCTAGTTAGAGTGTAGCATCTAGTATTTTACTTAATCTTCTTTTTCTTATTATGGCCTTATGAGATTTAGTTGCTACTTAGCACTGTTTTTGAATCTACTAGTGGAGTTGTAGGGTTTATGGCAGTCTACTATGTTTTTCCTAAATTAGGATTGTGTGTCACTGGTGATTTATGACCGTCAAGGGGAACCACTGTCCTAATTTCTGATACCATAGATTCTTAAGCCTAGTTTTGAAAGATTTTAAATAGAAAATGCAAACAACTTTATTTCTTCAGAAAGAGAATAAAGTAAGTGAACTATAATATATTCCTGTAAGAAAATAAAGTAGTACAGGAAAACGAATGTATTAGCTCACTGTTGTTCAATAGAGATTTCTGAAATGATGATAATGTTCTCACTGTGAACATTACACAGTTGCTACTGGCCATGTTGCTAGTGTGCAACTGGGAAATTGGAATTTTCCTTAATTTTGACTAAGTTAAATTTAAATAGCCACAAGTACTAGTGGCTATCTTATTGGATAGTGCAGCATTAAGTCTTCATTTAACAAAAACTAGGACATTCATTTCTTTGAAAACGAAGATGCAAGAGACAGGTGCAGTGTTGTTCCCGTCATGTAAAGTTGTGAAAGCCACCTGTCACTAGTGCATGTTTCTTGGAGTCACCCGTAAACATCCAACTACAGAAGAAACGCTAGCCTGCGGGGCAGTGGGAACCAGGAGTTGGGGTCGAGTTCACTTTCTCCTGTGCGCTTTTCCTTTGGAATCAAGGGTTTGAAACACGTATGGGCACATGTTAAATAGGTTCATTCCTTGGGTGGCTGCGAAGGCTTTTTCTGCTTTTAATTCTAGATTTGTCATATTTTGGAATTCTAAAAAGTAATGTGGAAAATATACTCGTTGACTCAATTGACAACCCTCGGAAAATTGGCCTACAGAAAAGAAAGACCCAAGTGTAAAGATATATGTACTAAGATATATACTGCAATTCTATCTGTTCGGATCCCCTTGGCCGGTAGTGAGACGGCTATAAGCAGTTTGGATCTTATCATTTTATACAATTATAACCAAAAGGGAGATAATATATATCTCTGGTATTCTTAATTATTTATTTGAGGTGAGATTCCCATAACATTAAAAAAAAGAATTTTCAATTAAACAGTTTATTGTCGTTTAAAACTTTGTGCAACCTTATGCTTAAGAAACGAGAATTCCCTGGAGAAGTTCTTTGTTTCTGGTTGGCCAGAATTGGTTGATGCTGTACATTAATTGTTTCAGAAAACCAGGCCTAAGTGCATAGCTGTTCTCAGAGTGTGCTCTGCAGGACTCTGGAGGCTCCAAAGGTCCACTGTTTAAGGGTATGACTTTTCACTAACTGGCACCAAAGCACTGACAGGTAAAACTCTTGGATGTTAGCACAAAGCAAGGCAGTGGAAGATTACGTTTTACTGCCACAAATCAAAACGACGGACTTCACTTTGGAGTATCCTGATTAAACAGTAAAATTAACTCATTTTATTGTGTCTTGACTTTTGAGTATGTTTTTTTCATATTCTTTGTGATGAAAATATGAAGCCCACAGTGAAACATCTTTGGTGATACCAGAGTACAGTGCCTGACTCCCCAAACAGCATTGTGCAGGCCTTTGTGTAGTAAGCTGAACTAGCCACATTTTTTTCATGGAGTACCATATTTATTTGACAGAATGATCAAAACTATGCTTGTTCAGACTTGGATATTTTACACTTGTGGTTTCTCAAAAAGGAATAAAGTGTCTTGCCACTTTAAAGAAAGCGGATAGTATTTGTTGGCAGTGATAAAGTTCAAACTTTTAAGAAAGCATTATAATTTTGAAAATTACATCTGTCTACTAATTTTAAATACTTTTTTCTTTGAAATATGAATAAATGTTATATTTTCAGGTTGTATATAAAAAATATGCCAACATTTGGAATTATCTACATTTAGTCAGTGAACCAATATTTTCCAAATGCCCAGTGAATTTTAATGTGTATTGTATAAAAAATTCATGGATAAGGTTTCAGATTCCATATTGTAAATAAACTTTGAGAAACTATAACCTACGTTATAGTATCGTTCCAGAAAAGAAGATCCACAGTGATCTGGAAAGACTGTTACAACACTCCTCTGGTTTTCAGCGCCCTCTCTGTGTGATGCCAGGTCCTTTTGCCTATACTGCAGCAACACGTTGCGACAGATTACCTGCAGAAACAAATCAGACCACATAGCTGCCTTTTATTAATCCAGACAGTAAAGAGATTTACAAAAACTTGAATACTACTTTTCTTCCTGCATTTTTCATTTTGGAAAGTCTATTTTCTTAGAGCATACAGTGCTTTGCAGACTCAGAAAATGAACGCAGAGGAGGGTGAGCGCGTTTCCGTATTGCTGCAGACTGAGTTTGACCTGAACCCCTAGGGATTCATGGGTCACCTTTTTAAGAACTGTTAACTACAGAGAAACGCATGTGTGTGCTCAAGGAACTCACAAGTATAAAGTTCTTTGCCATGATGATTCTGTGTAATAGTGAAAAGGTGACAACAGCTTAGGAATTCAACCATAGGGGAGTAGGTAAATGAAATATCTCTCCCTCCAATGTAATTTTACACAGCCATTAGAAGGTATAAATCAATGTGGAGTGACAGCAAATGCAATATCTAGTAATTAAACCAAGACTCAAATCCAATAGCACCTTCGGTCCTCCATTTCTAGATATGCTCTGTGTAAAATAAATTTTTTACTATACAAACCAAATCATCTGATTTGTCTTTTACAGGTCTGTACTTGTATTTATAAGACTTTTAAGAAAGCGTGCTGAAAGCATATGTACTAGACTTAGGCGACAGGTTGCGTATAGGGATTGGAGACCAGTTTTATTTCTTTAAGGAATGAAAGATTAAGAGAAAAATATGACTTTATTTAAATTTTTTAATTTGAGGATTTAAAAATGTGAAATTTTATTATACTTTTTTTGGGGGTATTTTCAGATAGTTCCCCAAACTCACTCAAATACTATTAAAATCATTATAAGCAACATATTATGAATGACTTTATTATGTTTGCTTCACTGATATAAGAAGACACGACAAATTTGTGGACCTAAATTCCAAAAATTACATGAAGTGAAATATGTAATGGTATGCTGAGTTAATTAGCAACAAAAAACATGGTACTGTTTTTGTAGTGAAAAAAAAACAAAAAAGTGCACAAAGAAAGCTTGGTCCAGTGTGGTCGTAAAGTGTTTCTAGTGGCATTGTAAACAGAACCATCTTATTTTTAAAGCAATTTTTAAATGACTTGATTAAGGTAGTAACATGGTTCATGTTCTTAAGCTTGTTTATCCTACTTTTTGGAATCTCTTCTAAAGATCTGTATGAAATAATGGTAGGTATGAAAGCATTATTTGGAATAGTAAATTGTTTATAGAGAGCCTAAGCAATGGAATAGTGGTCACCTTAGGTTACTTGATGTGCCACTATTAACACCTAAGTGTAAAGATCCATTGTAAAGCATTATGGAAGGTTATACATGTTAAGTTGCAAGGGAATATGAAATCATCTATTCTAATTACAGTAATTTTACATGAAAGAATCATGGTGGTACTGTGGGTTAGATGTTGGGCTGCTAACAACGAGGTGAGCTGTTCACCTCCACCAGCTGTTCCCTGGGATGGAGATGAAGCGAACCACTCCTATAAAGATGCCGTCGAAGAAACCCTTTATCGGGTAGTGTCAGTTTCAACTTTAATGGCAGTGAGCTTGGTTTTGTGGTTGTTTGATCAAGTGTTTTAAGGTTATGTGTGACTTTTTTCTTCCTCTTTAAGTATTTTTTAGTGTCATTTTCATGTGTAATATTGTTTGATTTAACAATAGTCTGATTTTAATGTGTATGATGATTGGACTTTCTTTTTAAAATTTTGCTTTGGGCTTGTCCCGTTCAAATCTGTCCCTCTCCTAATTCTTATATTTTAGGCAGAAATTAAACGTCTTCAAGAAGCCAATAAGGCGGCTCGGAAGGAAAGACAGCTGATTCTTAAACAGCAGGAAGAGATAGAACGGATCCGACAGACTACAATAAAACTACAGGAGAAGTTGAAATCTGCAGGGGAGAATAAATTGGTAAATTCCGTGGATTTATTCCTCGTTTATGGATTTGTTTTGTCTTGTCTTGCCTTAGGTGCTGGCTAATTCATAACCTAGTCTCATTTTCTAATAGAGATACATCTGTTCTAACACCATGACATAATAACAAACTAGGATAAAGTTGTAGGTGTATGCGGTTACGTAAAGTGAGTGGTTGGTTTCTTTTCCTAATGTTTGAAAGGGACAAGCGGTTCCTATATTTGTTTAATTTTTTTCCCTATGTATAAGTGATATTGGGACAGAGATCTTTCTCTTGTTTGTCAGTCCAAATAGAATCCTCAGAAGTGATAGGAGAGACTGTTCTTTTTTCTTTAAATAATAATTCAGCAAGCGTCAAAGGAGTTAGACAGAAATAACATGAATCAATTTAAAAATACTGTAAAATATCTTTCCAAGTATAGAGTTGGAAAACCCAGTGTAGCAGTATAATTAAATAAATCCTTAATATAATTTGATTTGGTTTTTAAAAATGCATTTTAACTTTTCAGACAATCTCAAACATATCAAAACTTCAAGACTTAGCTTTCCTAGTCACCCGAGAGTGACTTGCTCTGTCCCCTCCATGCCCTAGTCAAGTATTACCGACACGCACAGGCAACTTTGAAATGTGCATAAGCACAACGCAGGCGCACAAACCCGGAAATTGACAGAGGCCGTACTATTTAATCTGTACACTCCGAGTTTCATCAGTCACAATGTTCTTTTTAGAAAGGGATTAGTTCAAAATCATACACTGCCTTTAGTTTCGTGTGTTTTTAGTTTCCTTCAGTGTGGTTCTCATGACCTTGTTACTTTGGAAGATTTCATGCAGTTTTTTGTAGAATTCCTTTTAAAAGCTGGCTTTCCTGATGTTCCTTCACAGTCTGACTCAGGTTGTGCGTCTTGGGCAGAAACATCGCAGAAGCGATGCTGCGTTCTCATTGATGTCCCGAGTAAGGTGGTGTCTGCAAGAATTCTCTGTCAAGTTATAATTAGCAAACAGTTTGTCTGGAAATATTTTTGAGACTATGTAAATATCCTGTTCTTCCTTAAACCGAAATTTATTCTGTTGTTTTTGTCAGCATGTACTCGTGGATTTTTCTCTGTTCAGAGTTGCAATCTGCCATTCTCATGACTTGTTTTGACGCTAACTCAGTACCAAATTGAGCTGATCGGTTTCCGTGTCCTTTTCTTTTTTCCCTCTGTCTTTGTTAACACGCCCCAGTAGTCTTTGAGCAGATCCGTGCTTTCTGGAACAGCAGACTGTTTCAGAATCAGCTTGCACTTCCCGTGCCTCGGTCTTGGAACCAGCCATGTTTCTAAAGAGCTGTCATTCCTTGTAGTAAGGAAAGTGATTAGGAAATCAAAATCTGGTGTGAGGGATAATCATTGCTGCTCCTAGTAATGCTAGGAAATATGAATGAATAAGTTATGTGTGTTTTAGATATACACAACGCAGAGCTTCAAAAATTTCATGGGAAAAAGTGGAATCAAGTTATTATGTATATACTTATGTTTGTATATATATATATGTGCATGTATGTGTATGTGTACACATGCACAGGGGCTTCCAAATTCATTGTTTTCAGTTCCATTTTTCCTTGAAGCACGTGTATATTGAAAATCAAGAGTTCATATTGACCTGATTCCAGTTCAGTGCCCCAGGGTTTGTTCTAGTTTTTTCTCTTTTGGAGCTCCCTTCTTTGACAGTTATCCAGCGAACATGTTCCTTCATCAGTCCATACACATAACCAGTAACCACTGCTACTCCCTGCCCTGTGCACATGCCCTCCTCACCTTGTACCTGGTTGTCCCTCATGTGGACACACTCTTCTTACCTGCCATTTGGTGTTGAATTTTTCCTTCTTACTTTCTTTGGACTCTGACACCATGCAAGCGAGTTCTCTGTGGAAATCCACACTCTGAGCTCCTGGCTTGCTGTCACCCCATCTCCACATGGACACCTCTTTCTTGTCCTTCTCCATCTAATGCTTTAGGAATTGTTCAAGAAGGGAATAGGTAAGAAAAGATTGTTCTTTGGCTCTATTGTATGAAGTTTAAAAAACTATTCCTACTTAAAAAACTATTCTTACTTACATTATTCCTCATCAGGAATAATGTAAGAGTACTTCCAAGAGTTCATGGGAAAATTCTATTATCTTTGATATCACTTTTAATGAACTTTTTGAAGCCCTCTTGTATATTAATTAAACCAGTAGATCCTAACTTTTTATTATAAACTTTTTAATTTGTGAAAATATGTTTATATGTGTGTGTGTGTGTGTGTGTGTGTTTAAGCCGTATTTATGGGAAAAAACCATCTTCCAGTATGACTAAAAGAAGTTTACTGCATTTGCTCTTCATCACATCTGTGTATACATAGACATAGACATTTATATGGTTGTAATCTTGTATTCCTTTTGAGTGATTAAGCTGTATAGAATTAGGACATTTAGATACTAGGTTACTAGTGATAGAGGTTTTTAAAATTTTCTTGCCACTTTTTAAAAAGTTATTGTACTTTGTGATCTAGATTGCTGTTTAATCAGTACCTTAACTTAGCTCTAAGTACAAACATTATTTGAGGAAACACAATTTTGAATTGACACCATTTAAGATCACTTTAAGGAGCCCTTGTGGCACAGTGGTCAAATGTTCATGCAGCTGCTAAATGGGAGGCTGAACAGTTTGAACTGTCCGCATTTCTGTGGGAGAAGAGACCTGTAGGAGAAGGTGCTTTGTTCCTGTAAAGATGACAGCTTCGGTAACCCTAGGGGGCAGTTCTTTTTGTGATAAATCCGTTTAACTAAGTAGTATACCTATAAAATGTTTCCCAGTTAAATTCAAAAGAAGACTTAAACAGTGATTATGAAACAGTATTTGAAAAAATAAAATGTATACGGAGAAAGTACAGCAAAACGGACTTGTCTGCGTTTTCTATATTACCTGTGCATTTTGTTTATTTTAAAGGGGGCTAACTGATTCTGAGTTCAGGAGAAAAACTCCTATGAAACACGAGACCTTGAACTGAATTTTGTTAGCAACCACTTCAGATATTTAAAATGAACTTACTTAAAGTCAAAGTTCATCATTCTGTTTAGAACACTTTTTGTTTGAAAAGCAAATCGCCGTTTTAAAAAATAATTTTATTAGGGGCACATACAACTCTTATCACAGTCCATACATACATCAATTGTGTAAAGCACATTTGTACATTCATTGCCCTCATCATTCTCAAAACATTTGCTCTCCATGTAAGAACCTAGTATTAGCTCCTCATTTTCCTCACTCCCTCCCCGCTCCACCCTCCCTGATGAACCCTTGATAATTTATAAATTTTCATTTTGTCATATCTTACATTGCCCGATGTCTCCCTTCACCTACTTTTCTGTTGCCCATACCCCAGGGAGGAAGTTATATGTAGATCCTTGTAATCGGTTCCCCCTCTTCACCCCACCTTCCCTCTACCCTCCCAACATCACCACCCTCACCACTGGTCCTGAATGGATCATCCACCCTGGATTCCCTGTGTTCCCAGTTCCTACCTGTACCAGTGTACATCCTCTGGTCTAGCCAGATTTGTAAGGTAGACTTGGGATC